TCTTTTATATTGGTTTCCAATTCTCCCATTCAATAATAAGAAAATGTCCATAATTCTTGAATGGCACCTTTTACTGTTTATGAACACAGAGAATGGTGGTTCTGTCCTTGAATACACTTAAAATCTACACAGGAGGGTAAATATTTAGTCCAGTACACAGGGATTTAGCTGTGTGGTTTTGATTTGCATTAATAAATACAAATATTTACAGTATCTTTCTCCCAGAATGTTTATGCTCAGATTTGGTGCAATAAGAGAATCATGTGAAATAAAGTATCAAAAAAGTATTCTTCCATCAAGAATGTTCTCCAATATCTAATGCAAATAAGTATCCCACAGGAAAGATCTTGGTTTAAGAGTGTCTAGGGTGCTTTACAATAAAAGAATTTCTCTGTGTTAAACCAATAATATCACAGGTAACATGAGGAGGAAAGTAGAACATTTGCAGCTTTGGAACCAGCATTTCTGTACCATAAAAGATCCCTTTTCTATTCACTTCCAGGCCAGACCAAAACTTTACAGAAACTGCAATGCCACTGACACACCTGAGCCAGTTTCACAGCAGCTAACTCAGATACCAATGGCAGTGTATCCATGATAGCACAGAACTCAGTAAAGACAGATTTGTCCTGTACCAGCCCATATCATGCTGGTAGTACCCAGCTTTCTTAGCAGTCACTTCATTACTGCATAGCAGCACAACTTCGACCTTAGCAGGAGATCTTCTTAGCCCATTCTAGGTGTCTAAGTTTCAAGAGTTGCCTTTTACTGGGAGAGACAAAAAAAAAGTATCAATAAAAAAATAGGTATTGCTTAACTAACTTACTTAACTAACTCTTTAAGCTGAAAAAGCTTAAATACATCAAAGATCAGCTCGATGTTTTAACACAGCCAGTGGTGACAACACTACCTGAATTCTGTATGTTAAGTGGTGGCTCTGGCTCCTCTTCACTTGTTCACTTCAAAGTTCTCAACAGCAGCAGCACTTCCTGTCCCACTGGGTTGTGGTGTTGGGTTTGGTGCCAGCACATTTATGTTTAGCACTGAGCTTAAGAGGACTCAAATTTACACAGAGTTACAAAAAGGACCCTCTATGTCTGAGATGGGAGCTGCTCCTGCTTGTCCTACTCAGGTGACCCTGGTTAATCAGCACCACAGTATGAAGACTAACAACACAAGAAGCACGATTTTGCTTCTCCACATCCTTTGAAAAGATTCCCACCACAGTCTCCCATTAGCACTTGGCAAAGCCACCCTCACATCATACATGCATTTTCCTTTTAAAGGCTTCCCATGACAAAGCCCCTGAGGGAATAATGTTTTTCTTTTCTCAGTGGAATTAATCTATTCAGTGTGCCACTATAATCTTTAGCAGTTAGTTCCTTTTTCATTAAATTAAAAGGCAGAGGGATTTTTTTCATTTGCAATCTCAACTAAAATGCAAACTGAATAAAGAATGTTTATGGCAGAATCTCAATTCAGTGATAGAAAAATTAACAGTAACTTAAGAAATTCTGCAGATAACCCCATCCCATCCACCAGACAGATACCCAATGTCTGCTGTATGCTGCCATTCCCATGTGCTGTCCTGACATCAGATGCACCCAGTTGCCATCAGAACTGCATTTAAAATAAAATGCTCCCTTTGCAAGCTGTGAACAATACTTGCTGTCCAGCCACCCTCCTAATCCACCTTTCTCAACTCTCAATTCTCCACTAGGATAAAGGATCACATAAAGCCAGCTGTACAGATAACACAGTTGTAGCCAACATGCATTCCCACAAGTCTTAAAGCTAAATTTCCTTTTAACAGTTTAACAGCAAAAATCTAGGATTACAGGGATAGAGCTAATAAGCAGCTCCAAAGCACTGTCTGGAAAAGAACCAAAAAAGGATTAAAAATGAATGCAGCGAATAAATAAGAATATATATAATAAAACAAACACAGTCAAGCTATTGACCCTATAGCATAGGCAGAGCAGCTCCTCTCTGCAAGGAGGAGCAGAGCTTCTTCATTGGTCACTTATGCTCTGCTTCCCCTAAAGAGAAAACAAAAACCAAAAGCTACAACCTTAAACTAACAGATAATTCCCATCTAAATGGTGTTTGAAAATCAAACCCTTCAGGTGTCTGTTCTTTTGGGAAATGACACACATGAGCACAGACTGCAAACTGCTTAACAATTTCTGTTTGCACCAGCATAAGAATAAAAACAACTAAAGTATTGCCATGGACGTCCTTGATTTTATTCCTTTGTCACTAATGTATACTTCAGAGGAACTGAATTATTTTGACTTTTCCCCAAACTTATATGAGAAGATCAGTTTTCATGCCTACCAAGAGGAACTTTGATGCTATACAAATTTATCACCAGTTTTCTTCTGAAAATCAGGCATCCTCCAGGTCATTCTGCACCCTCACATTTCAGAGGATATTTGAAATGCTAAGTTGGTCTTCTTTTTGTTTTTGGTTTTTTTGTCAATCCTCAGTCTGGGATTTAAAACTGCAATTACTCTAACATTTCTGCAGTTATTGTACAGATAGAACTTTTATTCAAAAACTTAGTAATAAGTTTTTCAGAATTCATTTGTTAACCCACATAGCCTGCTGCACAAAACAGATGTTATAATGCCCATTTCACAGAATGGAAATCCTCTTACAGAGAATTATTTCTTCCATAGTACCAAACTGAAACAAAAGTTATGTCAGTATTTCCAGGCTCATTCCTTTAAACTATATTGTCAAAAAAAAAAAACCCCAGAGAGACAGACCACGTCCAATCCAGTTTGGGTATTTTTCAAATAAGAATTAATCATAGAACCATACATAGAGAGACGACCTAAAAATTACTAAAGGAAGTAACTGGAATAAAAATATAAATATAGACTTCTTTATTGTGCTCACCTATGGTTCTCTGCCAGTATCACCCAGATTTTCAGTGGGAAATAAAGGACACTTCAGCACAAATGATTTAGAGAACAGTTACATCCAAAATTTTAAAACCTGACCATTAGTAATGTGAAATTCTTAAAGTGAAGCTGTTAAACAGAACAAATAATGTATGATTAAGATTAACTGAAATATTTAGATGGTTTTCTCTTTTCTCCAGACCTGGCTTTTAAAAAAAAGCCCCAGAGCTTCTTTGGCATTTCTTTTTGGGGGCAGCAGTATTGGTGCCAGCAGTGTGGTTACAGGACAGCTTTGAAGCTAAACAGCTTGTGGGATACAATGTCTATTTGTGGTCCCTGAAATATTAAATAAAATGCTCCACCAAGGAATTGTTGTACGTACTTGGGGCTCAAGCTGGAGAAGAAATACAAGGAAATGTGAGAACATGGGATTTAAAGCATCTAAATGAAAACTTATCCACTTTTTCCTAGACATTAATTTGCTTACTTTCCTCCTTGCTGCTGCACACCCTCCAACAGAGGGTACAATCCTTTTTTACTGCAATAATAATAACAAAAAGCTTTTTCAACAGATGAACTTTGCAATAGTAGAGATAGAAAACTTAGTATTTTCCTACTAGTCAAGTAAAGCAGCCTCAGGGAGCATCAGTAATTTTCTCACAGTCACTGGGAAATTCTAAAATTGTTTATGTCTTTTCAAGGTCTTGCTTTGTACCAAGAGCAAAAGATTACCCTTTTCATTTTACATAGAGGTTGGTTCTAAAGGAGAATCTAATGTCTCTGTCTTGAAAAGAATCATAACTTCATTCAAGAAAAGAGAAATTCCTTCAAAAATAATGCAATTATCTCATTGGTACCATTTCTCTTCAATTAGAGCACAAAATGCACAACAATTCTCACATTTGTTCCACATCTCCAATTTTTTCTGTGTACCCAATTAAATGTGTCTGCAATAAACAGAAATAGACCATCCACGATACTGCAACCTTCTAGACAACAATCTCACAGTACATCAGGTTTCCTATCATCACAAAACACCTAGGAAAGTGTGATGTTTACAGCTGCTTCTGTATTTCAAACCCTGACTTTTTGCACCTCCCACACATAACACACTTTTTGAGATTTTTCACAAGGTGAAGACGGCTGATTGTTCAACACTTGGTGTACAGCACTGGACATAACCCCTTAAGAGGGTGTGGGACTGACACAGGGATCAATTAACCAAAAATGACAGTAATCAGCCAGTGAACCATGGCAGTTTTGTTTTCTGATAGAATTCTTCAAGAGAATGTTTTTTTCCTTTGTTACAAAACTTGCAAACTGCCTATCTTGAGCAGTATCTAATACTAAAAATATTTGCCATCTGGACTGATTATTGTCTTCCATAGGGTTTACTAATCCAAGAATCCAAGATTTAGAATCCAAGTTCTTATTGATCTATATATTGTTAGCAATAACAGCTTCCTGTATTGGCATGGATTGCCTACCCAAAATGTACAGCATTTTAAACATAGAGAAAATATAGGTGTCATGCAATATATAGGGTCTTCAAGTGCAACAGACCATCCCATGTCCAATAGTGAAACTAATGGTGTCACAATGGGATTCTCCATGAAAATTTTGGTTCATTTCTAATGATGAATGCAAGTCCAAATTCTGTGTATGGAACTAGGGTATGCCCACTGATTGCAGAAACAGGTACCTGAAATGTATTCCTGGTACAAATACCCAGAATTCAATTATTTTTTGTATGTATTTTTCTGATAGCCCATTACTCTAACCAAAAGCACATGGCTGTGTGGTGACATCCCTGAAAATCAGTAAGCATTTTGTGTTTGGCAGTTAAGGCCAGGAAGTCAGACTGATGAATAGTGCAGAGCACTGTAATAAAAACACTTGATTCATATCAGGAAGAGTGCATTTGATGGAAGTGTTGTGTTTATGACACACTAACAACTATGCAGATTGAGTAGATAGTGTTAGCATTTTCATCATTCAATCTTAGCCACTCCAATAAATAATGCTGGTTTGTGGTCGACAGGACTCTTTTACTGCAGTATCTCAGATGAGTATATAAACATTTATACTTACAGCCACACTGCTCTCCTTTGTAAAGGAAATTAGGTTCAATCCCATTATTTATTTGCCATGAACTTGCCGAAGGTCACTAAAATGGCCTTTGGGAGATCCTGGAAAAGAGCCCAGGTTTATTGCATGTAAATCACCAAAACATTTTGCCCTCAAAACTGCTGAGTCGAGAAATATAAAATATAAATAACTTGAAATGGTTTTCTCCATACAAGGGTCTAAGCCACAGGCTGGCTTTGGCTTAGATTGGATCTTTTTCAATTTTACCATTTAAGTAGTTAAATATTTCTTTCCTCCTGTATTTGGACAGCATATATTACCTATGACTAGATAAAGGTGCACCAAAAATAGATTAGAATTATGAAAGAAGACTAAGTGATATAGGAACTTGATTTCTCTGGAAATACAATAGTAGTCAAGTGCCTGACTGCATAAGGCTCAAAAAAAAAAAAAAAAAGGTCTCAGGCAAATACCAAAATCACTTTTTTCTTCAGGTGTATGTTTACCTAAAGCCAACTGTAGTGGCTCTGTTGTGCTTCTCTGGAGTTCCAACCAGGTTATATTTGCCAGATCTGAAGTACCCTTCAATTTGCATAATTTTCAGAATCTCTTTTCTCCTTAACCTTAATACAAATAAAATTATTGATGTCCATAAATACTAGAAATTAATATAAAAAGCAATTTGTTTAAAAAGAGGTTAAGTGCTGTTAAGGTACTTGTGCATAATTTTATAAAGTCTGGGGGACTATTTTTCCTGTCTGTCATTTGAAGGATCATGTGTGGAAGTTGATGATAAAAAGCATGACTAAACTCAGAAAAAAATCCATTAAAATAGGGTAAATAGTTAAATATATAGTTAATAGTTAAATATAGTTAAATAGTTAAAATGCCCTACTTATGAATTAGGAATAATTTATTTAAAATCAAAATGTAAGGTGGAAAGAGAAACAAGATAGAAGGGAGCCAGAAGAGATGTTGATAATGAAAGGGTTTGATTTATTGAAAATGTAACACATCAGAAATTTGCCTGGCCAAAGCAAAGATTTCAGTCTCCCCTTCGACATTTAAAGAAGGCAGTTCAATGTGGTGTCATGGTTTAGGAATGGTATTCTCCAATTTAGTACTCACACTAAAACCAGGCAACTCCTTCCCCTCCCACCCCACTCCAGATGGAGGCACAAAAGGCAAAGATCAAAAGATCATGGGTGAAGATAAGGATGATTTACTGGAAAGAGCAATAAGAAAATGAACAGTAACAGCACAATATTAACAACAAAAGGTATAAGAACGGAAAACAATGACAATAAACAAAGACTAGACTGCTCCAGCTGCCACCTTTTCTTGACTGGCACAAACCCCTTTTCCATGGAAGCCAATACCTTTCCCTCCACCCACAGCAAGTCCATGAGGTGGCATAAAATAATGTCTTTACCCCTCTATGTCCCAGCCGTGCTCCCTCCTGGCTACTGCAAAAAATTAACCCTGTCCTCACCAGAACCAGGACATATGGACAGACTCCTTGCAGCAAATGAATATTTTATCAGTAGTTTTGGATGAACAAAGAAACCACATATAAAGGTTTGCATGCAAAAATGTTTTAATTGCACAAAGTTCCTTTAGGCATTCTTGAGTTTTAGCTGCTGTCTAGAGTAAGAGTTGTAAGAATTTGTAAACTGTGCAGGTCGAATTTGAATCTCATCTGCTGTCACTCACGGGACTGCATTTGGCCACCAGGCTGGGGGCTTTGCTAATGGTTTATCTGCTCTAGAGTCTCTGTGTTGGCAGACGTAAACACAGCATATTCCACAGCTCATGCCCAATACTGCCCTATAAAACAAAACTATGGACATTCATAGCTTCAAGCAAACCGATGTGTGGCACTCAGAGTAGAAAGGAAACATCAACTGCTCCAAAAAAGCTGAAATCTACCTAAATGCTTTTGCAGAAGAGAAAATAAATAGACATAGATATCCTACAGGGCAAGTTTCTGGTTCATGCTGAAAAAAGACATATAAAATACATATAAACTATAAAATTATCTACAAGAGCAATCATTTCAAAACCAAATCAACTATAAGCTTACTTTTCCAAATTGCAATTAGTGATGGAAAATTATCATTAAAAAATTATTTTAGGCATTCCTCCTTCAAAGGCACACTGGACAACAACCTTGTGGCACCCAGAATAAACTACTTCAGAGAGTTAACAGAAAGCATCTTGGGAAATGAACCAAAAGCAAGACATAATGTAGTATTTTTCCATTTTCATCTCTATTTACTGTTTAATTACACAGTGTTATTCCTCTATTGTGTTTTCATGTTGCTGAAATAGAGCAGGAGGGGTTTTTCATTGATCTAAGTACAATTTGCTTTTTAAAACTAAAGATTTCTTTAATATAAATGCTAACAAAATAAAAAAAAATAAGAGTGGCAGTTTGTAGGAAAAATTAACAGTTCAATGCAGAAAATGGCAGCAATATATAGAAATCCTGGGCCAATGTTTTTCACATATAAAATTACAGAGAACATATAATTCTCCTAAATATATAAAGGGTTAAACTTACCCTGTCTTAAGCAGTTTGTAGCAGTCTCAGAAACCAGGAGATAAAACCTCAGAAGATGTACAAATAATTGTAAAAGAGTAGCAAATCAAACCAAACACCATTGTAAAATACTTCATTACAGGAAAAGGCAATATGACATTACAGTTGCACGATACTATAACTGTGTATGTGACAGACTAACAGAATATTGCCCATTTAGAAATGTCCTAGAGGACATAGTGACAGAACAAATGCTCTCTTAATAATGAGAGATTCCAAAGATGATTCCTAGCAAAAGTGAATTTAACATGGCCCAAAGCAACAGAATTAACAAGAGCAATGGAAACAGCAGAAAAAAATACCAGATCTGCTCATGGAATGCAAATAATCAAAGTAAAACAAAAGGAGAATTTAGGTGTTAGGGTTCTAACCAGTCCATTTTACTTAACTTTATACAATCAAAATGATTCCATGTTTTAAATAGATGATTAGCAAAACAAGCAACCAAAATCAAGCAAACAATTAAAAAAAAAAATCCCAACAGCAAAACCCCAAAAGATGAAAAGCTGTCACTAGCCTTGAACAAGTCTCCAAAAGAGTAAAGGAGAGCCATTGCTTTGTGGTTAGAGAATAACTACATTGCAGCAGAAATGGAAGAAAATTGGACTTTCCCACAGCAAGCAACAAGTAATCCAGTAACCAATTAAAAATATTGTCTATGGGGTACAAGCTGTAGCTAATATGAATTAGTTATGACCTAAGCTGTGGTTCTCAGTTAAGATCCAGCAGCTGGCAATCCTGGTGGAGTATCCATCACTTTGCAGTCACCCTTACTTACAGAAAACTTGGAGGCCTGAGAGAGCATAACAAGTTCTCTTGTATTTATAATCCAAATCAGAAACAGATGTCCAATACATCCCTAAGCTCTTATGCTCCAGGAGATAAGGCACAAGAAATGGGGCCAAGTAAGCATGGTTTCCCTCTAGTCACTGATTTAGGAACACTACATACTAATGCTAAGAATGTCTGCAGGAATTGGAAGCCACAGTGAAAAAGATCACCAAGTTAGAAATAAACATGTCCCATGAATAGACAACATTAAGTAAACCTTAACATGATAGTGAGCCAGATATCTTACAATGCGAGAAAAAAAAAAAAAAGAGAAAAATAAATAAAAACCCCACAAAACTATAAAAAATGTGCTGCTACAAATAGTCACAAGGGGCCTGTATATTAGGCTGCCGTAGAGAATATTGTCTGGAGGTTGTCACTGACACTGAAAATTTGTTAAAAGTTACCCTGCATCTTGGAGTCAGAATTGGCAACTGCTTTGCCATTTCGACCTGTGATATTAAATATCTGTCAATGCAAAGAACGCATTTCAAGCACTGGAGGTAGTAGGAGTTTTTAAAGACAAAATACATTTTTCTTACTGCTACTGGAAAGAAACCAAAACAGAGCTAAATGACAGCAAAGGATGAGACTGTAAGAGAATTAATTGCCTCAACAATGTCAAGGGCCACAGAAGGAACAGAAGTGCACATCAGAAGGATGAACGACAACAGACATCAGGTACAACACGGGAAATCTTGATTTATAAGAAAACATTTTCACAAGGAGGATGGCCACATTCTGGGGGAACATCCCTTAGAAAGGCAGTGCAGTTCCCATCCAGCAGGTACCAAAAGCCTGGCTGGACAAAGCTTGGACCTGCTCTGTGCAGGGTGGTGGACCAGAGATGTCTGAAGGTGCTTGGCAGCCTGCACGGTTCAGTAATAAGGGACAGAGCTTTACAGGAGTGTGAAGAGCCACTTCAGTTTCCAGCATCTGCTTCCTCATTTTAAGGTTTTCCAAGGCATTTCCTGGTTCTGTCTAAAGGGAAAGAAAGGGTTCCCCAACACTAAGTGGGACAAGATGAGATGAAAATATAGTAACCAAAACCAATTCAGTTTATTGAAGGGTGTCTGTTACTGCAGACTGCAGAAAGTGAGGGGCTGGTTGTTCATCTCACACAGCAGCATTTTGTGAACTACTGCTACTAGGAAGCCTAGGGTACAAAGGGTTAACAGGCACATTTTTAAATTATATTTGTATGACTTCAGCTTTTGTGAACAAATGAAGGTTTACTACAGTCCAATCACATCCCAGTACATATCAGGCAGCAATCCAGCAGTACAGTCGGAATTTGTTTCTGAAACAAGCACTCAATTCTTATATGTAAATGATTTTTTAAAACTTAGTTTTTATGACTTACTGATTCTTAAACTATACCATTTTTAGATAGTATATTTTCACTAATTTAAAGAGACACTTTGTAACTGCTCTCCTAACACTGTCTCAATAAAACACCCAAAATGAAAAGCAAGAATTGACTTGATAAATACGATGACCTTGCTCCAGGCACTCAGAAGTGTACCTTACACCCCCATGCAGCAGCCAGCAGTTGTCTTCCTTAAAGTCCCCACTATTGATTTTAAATCTGTGGAAAGTAAGCTCTTTATCAATTCTAACCCACAGTTCCTAATGCATTCCTGAAGAGATTGATGGTTTCTGACT